CCCCAACTTGACACCTCTCTCCTATGAACTATATAGCTAATCTCTAAGTATGTTTGTTTAGGCTGCTGGTGTATACCTCCAGCAGACCCTCAGCACTACCATCCTATTGCTATATATCATCTTACCTCTCACATCTCGTCTCTTTGTGTGCTGTAAAGAGTCACAATAATAAAAATAATAATAATACTAGGCTGCCACATGGCAGAATTGTGAAACTGCACTGCTGATGTGGAGTTATCAGATACACGAGAACATGGACAAATTGAAAAAAATTCAGCAGGTTTCATAAGTAGTCGGATCAGTCACAACAAGACCACCTGTTTCGAGAGATCAGATCTTGCAAAGGCTTCTAACATCAATGTTTTAGACTCAACATACTAACCAGCAAAGTAAATATACATAAACAGCATCTCTACAGTGATCAGTGATTGTAAAGCACTGAAGTGCAAACCCTCGGCGCACTGTGACGCGCACTCGTCAGTAAACGCATGCGCAGTACCACTAATTGATGGGCTGGGTTTAGTTTTAGCTGTTACTCGCGGTCTCTTGCCAGCGCAGAGTCTGACGCGGGCTAACTACACTACTAGATAGTATGCGAGAGGAAAAACCCCCCTGCGTTGCATCTTCTGGTGCCTCCGAGTACGCAGAGCACGCGGATCGATCCGACTGTGGTAAGCCATCCCGTCCGTTGTGTATTTGCATATTGGCTTTTTCGCGCTCTAGCTTTGCAACGGAGCAGTTTCAGAGAAAACCCCACCAATTTTTCTGACCTTCGTTGCCCGTTGAGTAGGTCGTATCCTTTGTGAGACGAACAAACACCCGAGAAGTGAGATTGAGAGTAACAGACAGACACACACACACGTACACACAGACAAACCCAACTACTGTAACCCTCGCTGCGCATGCGCGCCGAGGGTTAATAATTACAATAGACCTAGTAACTCACTATGCAGCAGTACCCTGCTGTGGAAATACTGCATGCCCATGCAGTGGGGCAGGTAGCTATACGCCATAGCATGCGAGAAGACCCTCTCAAACTTTAGGAGAATAGGCTTCTCAAGCTGCAGTGACAGTGTTGACAATGAGGTCCCACTGCCTGTGGACCAAAGTGGAATAAACATTATAGCGGAGAGTTCTCAGGTTTAGTATGAAGAACTTCAATTTCTGCAGAGAAATTCAAATGAAGTGTATATACATCCCTCCCACCAATGAAAGAAAGACAACTGTTGCTTGCAGTCACCCACGGCTCCTCACAGAATCTTCCAGACTCACACGGGACTGCCACATTTTGATAGAATTTGTAGAGCATCAGTAATTGTTATAGTGATGTCCTTGGATTGGCTGGTGGTGTCAGTCTTAGCTCTGGCTCTAGGAGGTGTATCATTGAGAGCTAAACTCTGCAGTGGATATCTCTCTTACAACTCTGAGGCCAGTTCTACATCAGAGCTGCACCAGATGGTATATATTAGATCTGCAGAAACAGGTGGAGGACCTTCGAACCCTAGCAGACAGCAGTTTGGTGGTGCCAGCCCTGATCAAAGTGGATCCTGTGGTATGTACGACCCACACAAGAACGTGCTCTGTGGGTTTGGCTACCATTTCCTGCACTACGGATGAAGTTGGGTTGACCTTGACATAAGCCTCGATGTGTACAAGCAGAGCTTATAATGTGTGTTGATGTTCACTGTCTTTGCCAAAAGATGTCAACACTGTCTCGCTGTGTGTGTATGTTTGCAACAGGAGGTGTACCTGTTTGGAATAAACTGTTCACTGCAGAGTAGTAGAAGTTCAGCTGGCTGACGAGGAGGTGTTGTCTACTGACCAAAGTCTGAGGGATTCTTGTCGAAGAGTTGTGGTCGAGCCCACTGTGACCAGCAACAGGGCTTACTGTAGAGGTCGTGTCAGACGCAGATGTCAGTCAATGGAGGGTGTTCACTGTCAACTTAAATTGACTCTTTGTCCCTTAATGCTGAACATCACCACAACTGAACCGTCATCATAACTATGTACATTATAAATACTGTGTTTTCCATGGCACAACATGCATTTGTGTGTGACTTTGTGAGTTTTTTGCAAGTTGTATATGGATGATAATATTAGTTGTATATGGATGATAATACTAGTTGTATATGGATGATAATATTAGTTGTATATGGATGATAATACTAGTTGTATATGGATGATAATGTATATCTTCAATAGAGTGTTTATGTTTCACTCTGGTGATTCCACACTGTCCTCCAAGTGAAAAAAGGGTGATGTAATAGTGCAGGATGACGTAAGAATGCAGACAGAAACATTAATGTCATGTGCTCATGTTTCCTATTGAGCAGCCAACACCTAAAGTGTGGAGGGAGCACTCACGTGTTTGCTGGGTGTAGGCCAGATATTCAGTAATTGCATTGTTTGAAGTCATTCATGACCACATCCTGATTACATTCCACCACATCAAAGCAAAAGACATGGTCTGTTACAGCATGTACACAACAACACCCACACAACGCATGATGCAACGCGTTGCGTGCTTGGCTCAAGTGGGTGTGTTAATTCAATTCAATGCTCCTTCAAGTGTATATAGAAAGAGTTGCGATCACCCAAATGGGGCAAACTATGCACTCGTGGCCTATTCCCATGAGCTAAATAGACTGCAGCACACGAGCCAGTAGGGACAAATGTGTTTTTTGACTCTGAGGCTTTTTAGAATCGAATAGGGAGCTACGAGGTGACATATGTACTGACATCAACAGAGATCTTTCTTTTGTGCTTTGCCCCTTGGCTCTCTGGTGTACTGCTATATACATGTACATACACACACCAGAACCAGATCCCTTGATAAACTACATGTAATGAGATCCTTGGAGCCTTCCCCAGATGGAAGCCCCCAATGTAGTACATTCCAGGAAGTTCCTTCACATAATATGCAGGCACCCCTGATGATTGTTGGTACTATATTCTCAATAGATTTAGTAGTATAATAGGGCATCATGGTCTAGTTAACACACACTGAAGTGGATTCCGTTACAGTTATAGGGATCCGGTCCCTATAGTTGCCAAACTAGCTAAACCTGTATGCCGTTCCAGTAGAACCAGTGAGTATAGCTATGGAGGGTGTGCGTACAGCTGTCAACAGTAGGTGGGTATGGTCAAAATAAATATTATTTGAGTGACAGTGAACAATTCGGATGATTGATATACAGTGACAAAATTGCAATGAACATTAAATATTAATGTGTGACAATTTATAACGGACCCTCACTGGACAGTAAAGACATTGAGACTGACACTGCATGAATCAGTTGTTGACTGTGACAACCGAGGGACATCTTTTGAGAAACATGGAGCAGTCTACCACACTCAGCCGTGTCTCTATGGCCGTCACGAAACAGTAGCATGAGAAAGTCCCGCTGTCTGCGTCACGTCTTAGAGTGGCCACGACTGGGTTTCGCTCACTACGAAGGTCTGTCACTGCACAGTACACGTCCTGGATGAAGGTGTCTGACATGTCAATGAAGACGCTCGCCGTAAAACAACTGCTGTAGTTGGGGTATGAGTCTGGGTCAGCGCCGTCCACTGGAGTGAGACCAGTGTCCGATATCCGACACTTTTGGATCTCGTCATACTCACAGTGTGTTGTGAGGTTGACCGTGGAGATTGCCACTGGCTCAGCTGTGGACGGGGTTTCCTGGGTTGGAGCTGCGATTAGCCCTTCAACCGACTCATTGACACGATTCAACTGGACTGAAAGCTCTTGAATCTCCACGCTTTTCATCTCGATTGTCTGAGTAAAGTTCTGCTGGAGTTCAGTTATCATTGACTGGAGAATGTCGATCTTCGCGTTTGAGTCCGTCAGTTGGGACTCCAGTCTGGAGATGGTAGAGCCGCTCCCGCCGCTGCTGCCGTCCTCCAGCAAATCAAGGATGCCCAGCGCCACGCCACCGCACCCCACCAATAGAGCCAGTATCGTAAAGAACCAGAGACAGACGGAGCACTTCGTGCACGAGGACGCTTGCTGCCGCTCTTCGTTCACCTTGTACGACGTCCCCATTGAAGTGTACTCGACGTGCGGGACGACGCTGCGCGGTAGATTGGTTAGACTCTGGTAGGTAGACGACGGCTTTGTATCGAAGTCAAGGTCCCCGATCGGCTTTGTCGGGCTGGACGGCGGGAGATCTATGGCGGCGAAGGAGCGCGGGTTGGTAACCCCGCCGACTATCCCGCTCCCGCTATCACTGCTGCAGTGCGGATAAGCGTGCGATTCGTACGGTCTGCGTCGCCACTGGGTCGGATCGCCGGATCCCGAGTAGTCGCTGGTCTGCTCGGGTCTGCGTCGCCACTGGACCAGAGTCGGATCGCCGGAACCCGAGTAGTCGCTTGTCTGCTCGGGAGTAGTTCTCCCCGAGACGATGGTGACGGTATCCGTGGTGGCGGCCGTCACTGGGTGCTTGGAGCTCATCGGACGGGAGAGTTTAGAGCGCGCGCTGCATTCGGCACTACAAGACGATGGCGGGGTGACAGCGCTAATCGTGGACCTACTTTTTGCCTTTTACAGAGAATCTTCCTCCTTTTTGACAGGGGCCCGCGAGAGAAAGCCAAGCCGTCCAGTAATACTGGTTACTGTCTCGTCTAGCGAGCTGGATATCAATCACGTGGAAATGTTTACGAGCTAGCTCTGGCGCGCGCGGCGCGCCCCATTGACGCCCTCGACACACCTCCGAATTGCTAAAGCGCCTTATGCACAACCACAAAAGCGACTCGACTATCTGCTAAGTTTCTAGGCGAAGGCATAAGTAAGTAACACAAGGCAACTGAGTGTTTCAGTTGGTATCTTTCTCCTCGTGTTTATCCCACAGTACATAGCACCAAAATTATACATGGTACACAGTCACATGAGACATTAGTTGGCCGCTACCTACACACAAATGTTATACTGAGTCACTCACTTCAATATTGCATAACAACGATACTGGCCCGTGTGGTTGTCATAAAGTATGACTATTTCCGGCCCACTCACTGGGGATACAACATAGTGCGTTTAGGTTGATATCAGGCACTGACCCTCCCCATTTCCCAGATAAAAAACATTTCTTCATCGTGGTCTGTGGTATCATAGAGTATTCTGATCTCAACTGGTCATAGATGTGGCGGCAACTTCGTGGCAAGTCCGCTCCACTCGACTCAGATTGTCTCCATACTTGCAGATAAAGGTATAATACAAAGATGAGAAGGCATGTAAATGAACAACGCTCAGAACAAAGTCCCATCGTCGGGTTTATCAGGCATCACCACCACGTGAGTGTTTGGAGTCGTCATGGAAATTGAATTTTACTATCTTTGAAACGTTTCGTTGGCAATACAGTGTGTGCCCTTGACAAAGCACCTCTGTAATGTAAAAGCAGGTGTACCAAGCAATGTTTTCTCACAGAATTCGTTTGTGAGCCTCACAAATTCTTGTTCTATAGTCACGAGACCTCTCTTTATTCCACCTGTACACACCGTAGGTTATGTGATAGCCTTTAGTTCCCATTCCTCAGTGGGCTGCAGGACAACTGCAGTATATAATGTGGCACAAACTTCACCTGGGCTGAAGGGTTTAAAGAGCCGGCACAACCTAGCTCAAAGGCTTCCCAACACTTTTCTTGTCAACTATGTATGTAACTCTATACAATAAGTATTTTGTCGGCACGGAGACACACATACTATAATTACTATACAGTGACGAGCACACGAGCCATGTATTAACCACACAATTACACTACACTTGTTTTGGCAAAGGAGTGCCTAGACACACACAACTGGTGCAACCTAAAGAAGGCAGCGGAGGGGAAGTGACGGCTTGGCCAGTGAGCTTCCACGGCATGGTTTCTGGCAAGTGTGCAAGTCTGAGCGGCACTGTATGGTAAAAACAGTAGCCTACAGCAATGGATTTTCAGGGCACACTGGAAACCGTTTTCTCGGGCTTCAAACAGACCACTTATAGTTTATCATACTCATTGGCAATCTCAGTCCAACAGAGCCACAAGAGCTATATATAGTCAGGAGATTATCTACAGCCCTTTACAGCATCGTGGTGTTGTCTCAATAGACCATACAGTAGTTGACCGCCACTATGAAAAGGCATACACCCATTCAAGCTTGACTGACGGCTAAAATGTTCTGTCCACCATCTGATCTACGTACATGTACAGCTCCCTCGGGGCGCATGCGCAGCAAGGGGTACGTCTGTGCATGTTTGTTCTAAGATCCCTTCCTGCCTGTATCCAAAACATGAAGAGTTGAGAGCAATTCAATACATTTCTTGCTGCTCCATCGTGACACTACAGCCGGCAGGGTCACATTACAGTAGTTGTGTATGGACGACCATATATGGCATACCAGTGATTTGTTGGCATGCCACAAACTGGCAAAACTGGTCCCACATCCAGGCTCAACGGGGTTTGACATAATCCAATGATTATGTAGGGTCCATACAGTCGCAAATAGTACATGGTCGGCATACACTTACCCTACAATGTATTGTATGTCTCTCAGACAACGTAGGCCTATAGATAGTACTTTGCAGCATCTTGCCAAGCCTTGGTCCATGCACACATGCATGACCATGCTTTACGCGAAACACAATTGGCAGTGAGTAGTGTAAACATCACCCTCGGCCACTTGTGTGGTCTAGGGTAACTTCCAGGCCATGAACATATGGCAGGACCTCAGCCAACAACAACATGTAATATGTAGAACATTCACATACAACCTTCCAAAACGACTATACAAATCAACACCTGCACAAAAATGATGGCTCTTTTCACTATAAAACTCGAGTGGGAATTTATGGCAGCTCCTGGTTCTCCTGTCACAATATTCAGGCTTTATATAAATCAAAATTTTACCTACATGTATAATTATATATAAGCCACATCAGAACTATGTTCCTGGAAAACAGTGTGTGCCTTCAGTTACATTGCTGTGTTGTTTCTCAAAGACCTATATTATAGGAACATTATTTTTTCATATCCCACGCAATATTATTATGGCCACTTACAACTACGTAGTTTCTCGATTAGTATTAAATAACGTGGTAATCAGAGACAATTGACCACAATCAATAACCTATTATAAAAATAGCTGTGTAAAATCATCAGCAGATTGTAAATAACAATTATACAAAGGTTTTTGTAGAAAAAAATCTTAACACGATTGGAGAATGAGACAGTTGGTATTATAAACCAGAGTGAGAGAGAGAGAGAGAGGAGAGAGAGAGAGAGAGAGAGAGAGGAGAGAGGAGAGAGAGAGAGAGAGAGAGAGAGAGAGAGAGAGAGAGAGATGAGAGAGATGAGGAGAAGAGGGGAAAGATAGAAGTATTACAATACAAAAGAATGTGAAAAAGAAATAAAAATAATATTGGTTTTCCCAAAATTGACCCTGGAGAGCATCTATAATTTTACACATGATGTCGTAGACTACAAAAATAGAAGTTGCTGCGTTTTTTTTATAGTCAGAGTCCATTCCGTGAAGAAATATCTGTGCATTCTAATGGTTCAGTAAATTGGTAAATTTCTCAGTAAACTAAGGAAGAAGAATTGGATGAAGGTTTTTCAGCTGTGCGTCGGTGATTGGTTTAAACTGTCGTATTGATTGCTCCACGCCTGTGAGGAAAAAGATACAAGTGTGTTTTGACTATATAATTACTTTATATGAATGAAAAAACACTGAAGTGCAAACCCTCGGCGAACTGCGCTTGCGCGATACCGCTAATTGATGGGCTGGGCCGTAGTATGCGTTTACTCGTGGTCTCCCGCTAGTAGCACACGGAGAGTCTGACACGGGCTAGCTACAGTAGTAGATAGCATGCAGGAGTCGATACACGCCCTTCGTTGTGACGTCTTGTGCCTCCAAGGTACGCAGATCAAGCACATCTTGTCGAGGTAAGCCCGTGCTAATTTGCATATTGGCTTGTTCACTTGCTTTTCACGCCATAACTTTTGAACGCGGTACTTTTACGAAAATCGCAAGTTTTAAAATGAAGCCAGTGTAGCGCTGAACCCGTTGGTGTCGCTTTTTGGCCACAGACAGACAGACACACAGAACGACTACCGTAACCCTGGCTGCGCATGCGCACCAGAACGTTCCCCACTGAGACTACGAAAATTTGGCCCCTCCAAAAGTGTGTCTTACCCATGTCTCTGTCCTGTCATGGAGAGGCTAGCAAGAGCGGACACCGTATCCGCCTCCTCTACGTCTCTTATCTCGGAGTGAGTGATGTGGAGAAGGTTTCCGGTGTGATGGAGACATCGCCAGTAGGCCTCTGGGTATGTCAGTCAGATATTGGAGAAGGAGGGAAGAGGAGGGAGGAATGGTGTGTACAGGAGAGGTATTGGTATATACAGTTAAAGATTGTCTGATAAATATATACTACAATAACATGGTTTCTTCAAAGTTCAAATGTTCTTAACACAAGTGTCCCACTGTAGTGTTTGTTGCCCAGATAGATAATATACATACACTTTGGAAAATGCTGACGAGCATTTCCCCTATTTCTGTCAATTATGGCCCTGACCACCGACTAAATGGGCCCTGAAACCAGTGCACTCACTCCTCCTCAAGTTTCCCTCCATGAACACTGTAGATTGCGTACACAGCCCTAGGATCCCCAGTCCCTAGAATTTAGCCAGTAATAGATTTGTACTCCATACGATATTTTACACTTTTAGCTTCAAGTCACCAGAGTGCACTACTGTCTCAGAGAAGATGCCACCACTGTCTGAAGGATGTGCATGTGTAGTATATGGTAAGTACAGCAGACATATCCCCCAACAGAAACCTATGTAACTGTGACATGTGGTGATAGCAGAACCCTCACTGTGCATGGCCATAGTTTTCTCTATGCTGGTGATGGCTGGAGCCTGTGCCACTCTGTCGAATGCTGCAGAATCCAGAGCTGGTAGCTGAGGCCACGGGGAGGGGGAGAGGAGAGGGGAGAGGAGAGGGCAGAGGGCAGAGGGCAGAGGGCAGAGGAAGAAATGGAAAAGAGAAATGAATATAAGAGACTTAAATTGTATGGAAACCCTGTTTAAGTACACCATTCCCCACTTGCATACAATTTACCCCCTCAACTACAACAAAGATTGTACTTGGAGTCACAGTACATATACATAGACTACTGCCTCCGTGAAACACGTAACGACACCTCACAATTATTGTGGACACTTTCTCCCGTCTCACTGGGTGTCCAGGTGTCCTGATTCCACCGTATGCCTAGTTTGTCATTGCTGAACACCCCTTACATTTCACATGCAATGAGTGATCATAAACAGCTAGGTCAGTCCTCTATCAGACCATTGAATTATCCCATTTGGCAAAATTACTGCTTAGAGTGTGCTTCTAATTGGGAGGGCTATCTGAGCCAACCACAGGGGAAGTTTTTTTGCACGGAAAATCTCTAATCACTCCAACAATGTTGAATTTTATTGGGGTATATGCATGTGCAGTGCCCATCATCACAGGATAAACTAGGCAGGCTGTCACCAATCATATTTAGCAGAAGTGTGCACATTGTAGTTCTTAGTGAGGCATTACAGGAATTTTCAGCTTCATTCCAAGCCATTGTGACAGGACTCTAGAAGGTGTGAAATGTGCTGACTGTAGCACAGGAAACGTAAGAAATTTGCTCGCCAAACCGGTTTCAATCAGGAAATATATATACCAGTTATATACCAGTAGCTATAGTCGTGGTAACATGAGGATAAACTGATGGATGAGGATTACTCCGCTCACCAAACTATAGTTTGCATTTTGAAATCGTATATGGTACATACCAAGGTATAGATAGCGAAAGTCCTAAAACTGAGTTTCCGTCAGGAAGTATACGAGAGAGTTTCACCAAAAAAACTAGTTTGCATTCAAATAAAGTGAGGGGCTGGGCAATTACGTATAGCGGTGTGCACACACAAAACACGTTATCAAGCATGCATACCTTTGTCAATCGAAGTACATGAGTGCTTAGGTATATTACATTACTGGCTCAAACTGTGTCAAAGAGTGTGCTTCTCTGAATAATCAACTTTCTATAGTAGGGGGGCAGTTGCATATTCTTTGGTCGAATTGGAGAAAGTTGGTTCAAGAATCTCACCAACTTACCAAAAGAGAAAAGTGTTATGCAGTGAAACGTTTGTTTGCAGTGAGCATGGCCAAATGCTAATAGTTTCACAGCCACCACAAGCTCTCTGGTCCAGTATATACATACCAGCAGTAGCCTGATACTCGTATTCTGAATAGGGCCTTGGGCTTGCTTCTTCCTATGACTCACCTTACAACTATGCACTTTTAGTACACTCTCACGCTTCAAAACTGGCGTTTACTAAAATTTATATATTTTTAACCCAGCAATGCCCACTGCGTCATTTCGCCATGTGCATCAATTGGAGTTTATGATTATTCACCAGCGGTTTGTAGGAGCCCTTTGGGACCTTTAACTACACATATATACTAGTTCTCCTGCTACCTATATTCCCCATTAAAACTGTGCAGATTTCATGCACGAAGAAGGTGAGATCTCAGGGCTCTAACTACTACTAACGTATTCCGTGCCTACCTCTAGTCCGAGAAGAGCCTTCATACAAGCCTCAGCTGATGCACAGAGGGACATTAGCTCATAGCCACCCTCCAACGCCAGGGCAACTCGGCCATTACCAACACTCATTAACATTCTGGTCATCTGAGCATAACCTTTTATGGAGAGAAGAGGGAGGAGGAGGGGGACGGAGGAAATGAGATGAAGCAGCAATGTATAATATTAAGGGGAGAAGGAGGCAAAGAGGAAAAGTAAGAATATGAAAGGAGAGACAATGTTAATGAGTAGGAAAGGAGGGGCGAAGAGAGTGAGGCAAAAAGAGGATAATCAATGACAGAAAAGAGAAGAGGAGCACTAACTATGTATACGCAGGGAAACATGGAGAGAGGTGTGAAGGACAGAGAGAGAATAAACGATGGGTGAACAGAAATAAGGCATGAAAAGAGAGACAGGCACTATGGTAAGATGTCAAGTGGAGCAGAAACCGACGCCACATATCACAAAACTCAACCAGATTCGTCCAATCACAGGGTACCCTGACGACAGTGTAATAACCAGAACTGACAAACAAAACACAAACACAACCCCAAACCACACCCAAAAACAAACCCAAAAAAAAAACAAACAACACAAAAACCCAAACAACAAACAACAAAAAAAAACAAAAAAAAACACAACCCAACAACCAACAAAACAAACCAAAACACAAAAACCCAAACAAAAACAACAAACAACACACCCAACACAACAACAAACACACACAAAAAACACACACCAAAACAAAAAAACAAACACAAACAACCCAACACCAAAACAAAAAAACCAAACAAAACAACACAAATGCGATGGTGCAGGTGTTGACACACGGCCGACACCCAAAACAAAAAAACACAACAACCACAAAAAAACAAAAAACACCAACACCAAACCAAAAAAAGATGATGTCGGGACCAAACTCCCTCGCCACGGGAACCACCACACACCGGAATGCAGCCAAGTACTCTGGATCTCCATAACTTGATCCTGGGCCAAAGAGAAATACCCGAGAGTTGAACCCAAGATTCTCCCCGTGAAATTTTGTTGGGCATCGGAATATTACTCCACACTTTCATCTTTTCCCCTATCTCGCTCCAATCTTTCGTATTTTCACTCTTGTACATACTTCATCTTTTCTCGTTATCTCATGCTGTACTTTCATAAGTTCCCCCTATAATTCACCTGGTATCTTTCCCTATCTCACCCCTTACATCTGTCTTTCCCCTCTAGCTTGTTCCGAACTCTATGTCTTTTCCGCCTATCTTGCTCCAACCATTCGTCTTTTCACCCTAGTACATACTTCATCTTTTCTCCGTTATCTCATGCTGTACTTTCATAAGTTCCCCCTATAATTCACCTGGTATCTTTCCCTATCTCACCCCTTACATCTGTCCCCTCTAGCTTGTTCCGAACTCTCGGTCTTTTCACCTACATATCTTGCTCCTTATCCCAAACTTCTCACTTCCAACTTTCACCCTCTATTCACCCACGAAGTATGTATTTCCGAAAGACTGCAATACCCACACTCACTAGTAACTCCCTGAAGTGCCGTTGGTCCAGAGAAGGCCACGTTGATGTTGAACCCCAGACCAGCCCCCGAGCCGATCTCCTCTGGCCTCCCGGTGCCGGGGAAAAACGTCCCGTTGTCGTAGCGATGGAGAGAGAGATAGAGGACCCCCGGGTTGTCGTAGAATATCTGCTGAGTCCCGTTGCCATGGTGAATATCCTGTAGATCACAGATTGGAGCTTACACGGTACATTGTGTGTTTTGTAGAGAGGGAGGTGGGGAGGAGAGAGAAAGAGGAGAGACTAACAGAAAGGAGGAAAAGGTACGAAAAAGAGGAGCGCGCGCGCGCGCGCGCGAGCGTGCGTCCCCTTTGCGCGTCTCTTCTCGCTCTCTCCTCGCTCTGCTCTCTCTCTTCTCTCGTCTCTCTTCTCTCTCTCTCTGCTCTCTCTCTCGGCGCTCTCGTCTCTCTCTCTTCTCTCGCGTCTTCTCTCTCTCTGCTCTCTCTACTCTCTCTCTCGCAGCGCTCTCTTCCCTTCCTCTATCTATCCTCTTTGTTACTATCATGTGACCGAACAGTCCCCTATCTATACACTCTCTTTGTTCCTTGGCCAACATGGCCTTTGCTGCCAGAGCCACGTTGTTGAAGTAACAGAAATAGAAACATCCCATCCCCTGGAAAAACACACATCAACAACACATGAATAGTGAAACATTTCACAGTACATATGTACTTGGCTATACAAATTTGCTGTTGTCTTCTATGTGAGACACAATTATATTATTATAATATATGTTCATACTGCATGGTAGGTAGGGCAGACCGACTCTGAATACCTGACTATGACCTAAACCTTTCACGAGCGAGACAAACTATTCTGAATACCTCCTTGACTATAGGTGAAATAAATGTGCAGTAATAATCCTCAGGAGTGGTGTATAGGGTGGCCTAAACCTTTTGTACTTTTAGCAGGGAAGGGGAAGATGAGACCAACCAACCAACCATTCTACTACCTTGACTCTTAGCTGTAGAGTGCGTATACTCCTCAGGACTGGTATATAAGGGGTTATAGTGCCTAACCTTTTTGTACTTTTAAAGTAAGCAGGGAAGGGGAAGATGAGACCAACCAACCAACCATTCTGAATACCTTGACTATAGCTGGAGAGTGCAGTAATAATCCTCAGGACTGGTATATAGGGTGGCCTAAACCTTTCGTACTTTTAGCAGGCAAGGGGAAGATGAGACCAACCAACCAACCATTCTGAATACCTTGACTATAGCTGGAGAGTGCAGTAATAATCCTCAGGACTGGTATATAGGGTGGCCTAAACCTTTCGTACTTTTCGCAGGCAAGGGGAAGATAAGACCAACCAACCAACCATTCTGAATGCCTTGACTATAGCTGGAGAGTGCAGTAATAATCCTCAGGACTGGTATACTGGGTGGCCTAAACCTTTCGTACTTTTAGCAGGCAAGGGGAAGATAAGACCAACCAACCAACCATTCTGAATACCTTGACTATAGCTGGAGAGTGCAGTTCAGGCAACATTAAAGCGAAAAACCCTTTGTAAATGGATTTTGTGCAATTTCCAAATTAATTCAACCAGCTTACAAATTAATTCAACCAGCTTACATGGCTTGATTTGGTAGTGCATGGTGGCCTGGCGGTCGCACAAAGGCAAATCCATTCTGTATGAGGAGGAGGAGAAGATAAGAAGGAAAGAGAAGGCAAACTGATCTAAAAACTGTTCTACGTGTGAATCTCAACGACACTGTGTATCACACGCACCTTGACCTCTCCGGTGACAACCTTATCTGCCAGCTCAATCACAGAACCAACGGCCATCTTTGCAGAGTTTGAAGTGTGTTGTTCGTTCCAGTAGGTGTCCTGATCAACCTGAAACACGAGATACGAAGAGGGACGGTGTCGATTAGGTAATTCATGTGAATGTACATATTTGTTAGTAAGCACTTATACCAGACAAAAAGATAATGGCCTGCAAGTGCTTCTAAGAGGGCTACACTGACTGTATGAGTTTGTGAAACACAAGAAGAAGTTGCAACGTAAAAGCAATACGCACGATGTGTTTTGTTACGTATGTATGCATAATTGTGTGTACAGGTGATCACAATTTCCATGCCGAAAATAAAACTATAATTTTGTGTGTGTATATATATCTTCCACAACTTATGCATATCGTAGCTGGTCTGTATATAACCAAATCATCAGTGTAAAAAGGGTTTGCACTGAACTACAATCAAGAGCGGCTTACCCCAACTCCCTGGCAGCTCATCTGGATGAAGGAGCGTGTCGGATCTGCAAGGAGAGACAGAGGAGGACGAAATGAGGAAAAGACATGGTTCTGGTTAAACACAGGGGATTTAGAGTTAACAAGCATAGCATGGGACATTCTGAGTAGGTTATTTCTGAGACTGGGACAATACCTTTCTTGTCAGATCCAACTTTCCTCTGACTGGACCTCCCGTACAACCGTACGTGGTTGTCACTGTGGAGGGCTTGAAGCTCAGCCAGCGATGCCTTTCTGGCCCTCAGACGCTGTGACGTCATGCGGAGAGAGAGAGAGACTTTTAGATTTGTATCAGTAAACATTTTGCAAGTGTACCAGCAAATATTAGGAGGACGTAAGTGCTGGCACGTATACATGGCTTTTGCACAATTTCTGCATGCACGGCGAATTGTCTTGGTTAGCTCAGTGGTAAGAGTGCTCGCCCTCGCCTAGACCATAGAGTGTCATGGATTTGAATACTTTGCCTTTGGCGTTCTACCTCATTGTTGACACATGCCGAAATCGTGCACTTAATATTTAAATTTTGTAATAATTCTTCACTGTCCTAAATTATATTACTGCTATACCATATCCTTGGATAAAGGCAAAAGAGAAAGGGGAGGAGAGAGGAAGGAGAGAGAGGAAGGAGAGAGAGAGGGGAGAGGAATGAGATGTACCCTGCAGGAGGTGACGACTTTAGTCTCCACCAGTCTGGCCCAGATGCTCTGCAGTCTCCCCGGGTGCTCCGGATGAGAGCCTCCACAGGTGCAGCTGTGTTTCAACATCATTGTATCGTAGACCAGCCCGGTACCACCACCACCATTATTACCCTGTGAGATACGGTGGGAGAAAGGTAAGATAGAAACGAGGGAGAAAACGAGACCAGCTCTTTGTCTAATCACACCTAGACAGATACATACAGGTGCTTGATCTCTTCTGGCTTGCTTCATGATCCCATATTGCCTACAGCGAGCCTCAAACACTGCCTACATGAATGTGTAATAGCATCAAAATGGTGTCTGCTACACCCTAACACATTTGCTCACACAACGAAATAATCATACCAGACCTTCTCTCTCCCACCCACTTAACTCTGGGGGGTCGAAAATTGTGCACAGACAGAGAGATCTGGAAACGAGGGGCTAGAGTACTGTGATTCACTACCTAGTCGTCTGAATGCGGGGTTTTTCTATATGTGACGGGCACTGCTCATACACACAGTTCATACAGTAATATTCTACGGCAAAACTACATGTTATAGGCGATAATAGTACCTGTGTCTCCTGGCCTGAAGATGGGCTAGGAGCACCCACATTAGGGGAGCTCCTACCATTAGAGGCCGTACTGTCGTGGCTGTTGGTCGGCGTGAGAGAGAGTTTGGGTGTCAAGGTCGGACTACGGTTCTGGTAGATGTTCAGCGAGCTCATCTCCATGGACGCGGACCCTGTGACCTCGTGGTGACGAGGGGGTGTGGCCAGAACGGAACCGAGACTATTGGACTGGGTCAGCGTCGTCTTGTGTCCGAAAGGGAGACGGAGGGTCTCGGTGGAACTGGGGACCCTATGGACCCCCTGCTTCACTGCCTGCAGGACACACACATACATACAACAGTAGAATAATAAAAAACTTTTGCAAAATTGATTGCGAAAGCATTTTTCGCGTGACACTCGCTGGATGACAGTATTCGTGAAACCTTCTCGGAATGTTTTTTGTCCCGAAATATTTTACTTATGGATCACTGCCAGTGGTAACCCAACCAACCAACCAACGTGGGCTCGTTGTTGTTAGCAACTTCACACGCATAACTCTAACTCCAGCTGAAAATGAACCTTGACCCTATGAACACACAAAAGACCAAACACCCAGTGGTGTCACGTTCAAGAGCGAGCCCACTCAGTTGTACTCTAAATGCGGGATTTTTCTATACATGTGACGGGCACATATTGTAGACTACGGTAACACGCAATTGACCAATCAGATTCCGAGTTAAGAGGAAACTATTTTTTGGTAGTAGGGCCCTGGTAGTAGGGCCTTCGGCTCACTAAATTGCGTAGTTCCCACGGATCCGCATCTAACCTATACATACATATTCTAACTACTACATTATACACAAGCGAAAAATTGAACATCGTTCCAAATACGAGTGTACTCGCAGCCAGTCACCAAAAATGTGTGCATTCATTACACACACCTGTTGCTGGGCGACTACAGCGGCTGCGGCCTGCTGCTGCATTGCCTGCAACATGAGGAGAGCCTGTTGCTGGCTCTGCTGCCTCTGGAGCTCCTGCAGCTGTCGTAGCAACAGCAGGTGCTTCTGCTGTAGCTCCGTCTGCTGGCGGAGGTGGATTGTCGCCAACTGCCGCTGCTGCTCCTGGAGATACGGTGATGATGTAATGATTACATCATTACAGTGGTATTGAATGACGGGTGTACACATTAAGGATCGAATCATAATTCCCTCTTGGAGGTTCAATATGTGGGCTACGCTGAATCCATGCAGATTTCTGGAGAAATATACATGTGTGTATAAAAGCTGTCCTTGGGTGTAGTTGACTTGTCTGCCTTGCCTTGCCTTTCTACCTCGCTACCAAGTTGTTGAGGCATGCATGTTCATTCCACTCTTACAAAAACATTCCCTCTTCGAAATTTTATGCAATATTAAAGGACAACTGTGCATAAAAGATATTTCTCGGGTCCCAGAATGTCCTAATGAATGCAGTAGAGTAGTGACTACCTCGATGGCTTGTCTCTCTAGGATTGCTTGCTGCATGAGCTTCTGCTGATGGTCCAGATATTGTTGGTACACCTGTACAACAGTGATTTAAGGAGGTAGAGAGGAGAACAGTGAAGAAGAAGAAGACAAGAGAAAGAGAGAAGAAGGAAAGACAGAGAAAAAATACTTTGAATAAAGAGAAAAGGAAGAGGAAATAAAGAGACAAAATGAAGGAGTGAAATAAGAACCTTTTGTTTTTGGATCTGGAGTTGTTGGTTCTGGAGGAGGAAGGAGCGGAGGACGGCCTCCTGTTGGGAGTCAATGGGAACTCCCGGTGCCGACTGGCTCTCTGACAGCGGGCGGCGGGAGGGCGGGGCCAGGGTGTGGTGACCATCTGTACGTGGGCGGAGTAAATCAACACATGTTTTATAAACATGTACGTACAACTAAAATAATCATTACTACAATTGTTGTCTGAATTGGGACTGCCACATAGTCGTTTTGAACGCGCGAAAAATCGAACTTCTTTCTTTGCTCGCATACATATGTGTACGTAGTATAAAGAGCTGCATTGTATGTATAAATGTTTTACACTGTAGTCCAAGTTCTGCCCCACCCTCACCAGAAATTCCAGAGTCAGAGGAGGTGGTGGAGGGAGTGGGAGACGACGTGGCACTGTTGCTGGACTTTGACCCCTGAACCACCTGGAACGCTCCCGGAGCTTGCCCTGGGGACAAATACCAGAACGTTACACAAATATTTCACGTGCATATAGTTTATAGATGCGGTGGAAGAAGCGGTCAGACCCCATCGTTTAAAAGGGGAAATTTTGCGCATGTGCTGAATGAGCAGTTGCAGTTTTTGGTAAGTCGATGCAATCGCTGAGTCTCAAACACTGTACACTTGAGACTGCAAAGAATTGAGCTCTGTATACATACGTTACCTGTGCTGTAGAGCCACAGTGGGAACTGGAAGATGCTAGCACCGTCTGGTGCACCTGCAGTGTATGTAGATATAAACAGGCAGAGTTACATACACAAGTGGAATTAATAAACAAATTCCCCCCGAGTTAGCGCATTGTAACGTGCACCAATACAGAGAGACCCTCGCGTATGCTCTGGGCCGTCCCTGAGCAGCCGGGAGACGTATGTACAATTCAGCCCGGTGTGCCATAAAACGAGTTAACCCCAATCTCGGCGTACACGAGTGTTCCTGAGGGTTGCAGCAATCTTTGAAGAAGAGTTGTCCTCCTATCTAACTTTGTACAAGTACAGCACTTGCTCGGGTAATGACGAACCACGTCAGGTTTACTAACCGGCATTCCCTTGTTGCTTTTGTTGTTGTTTTTGTAGCTGAGTCAGCAACTCCACCTGCTGTTTCTGAAAGGCTTCCAGCTGCTCTTGAGTGGGGATGGCCCCGCTCGTTAGCAGAGGCGTCATCTGAACAGCCGGAAACTGCAGAAAATGAGAGTTCCCATTACCACAAACTAGCAAAAAACAATGAAATCACAAGTCATTTTTGCAGATCCTTGTATCATAAATATAATATGCATAATATGCTATTGAGCAACTCTCAAAAGTCTTTTTGTGAAATAAGATCTTTACGTGGAAAACAAGAGTAAGGAAAGGTCAATCAGATACATATTCTATTTAAAGGTAAAGTAATATCAAACTGATGAGGCTTTAATTTGTCGACATACCCGAGCAGCTGCAGCCAATCCAGGTGGTATCTGTGTTGCCATAGTGATGCCGCTCATCTCTTCAGCCCTGCCCCCAGCTCCACCCTCTTCGTACTGGGAGGATGGGGATTCGCAGTGAGGGGTGGTGGAGGAGGAGGGAGAGTGGGGAGAGTGGGGAGACGCGTACAGGGAGGAGGCCGAGGTACTCTGTCGCCACGACGACGACCCCGATGACCCCGGTACGGCAGCACTATCTGGAGAGATGAACAAACATAATGAGGACTGAGAGGTTAGGAAGAAGGAGTCAAAGCCTCGAAACAAATACAATCTTTTGCAAATACAAGTCACGGAGAGAATGAACAGACAAAAAACGGAGGGGAAATGGACCTTTTTCTCTCCGTACAAGGTCTCGAAAAAGGAGAAGGACCTACTGCTCACAGGCTACAGCACTCTTTGGAGCTGCAGTGTATACCCTCAAAATGCTTCTGCCAAGGGACCATTTGTACAATATAGAGGCTAATGTTAATCTCAGCGAAAGGCCACACCCATTGCCACACCTACTCACCAAGGGAAGAGCCGACGGAGAGTGTCTTGTTGAGGTCAGTCCTCCTGGGGACCGGACTCAGTCTGTTGTGTTGCTTGACTCGCTGCACCTTCTTCTTCAGTCCTGGCTCTGAATCTGGGGGAAGGAGGGAGGGAGGGAGGAGAGAACAACTTTGTTAAACACACACTATATACACCAGAGGAATGTAATGCACCATTCTGGGAGGGAGCACGAGCATTTCAATATTTCGCGCGTATTTAGAATCACATACATAGAACATTACTGTATGAACAGTGCCCAATGGATAGCATATGTACACCGTATAGAGAATTTCTGCATTGAGGTATGTAGGCTCACTTCACTCGCCAACTTAAACTGGGAATTTGGAGGGAAAAGCAATTTCGTGGTTTAGTGGTCACCTGCGAAAGTTTCTCCACAAACTTAGTACTTACTATCAAGTGGAAACGTCTTTATTGCGAGACAGAAAGTCGGCAAAAGTTTTCAAACAAAATTCACATGTGCGACCTAAATGAGTGTTTTCTACATCTAAAGGTTCCTGCTACATATATGGTAGTGAAAGATGACTGACTGGAAGGTGTAAGAATATCAAACACCCGAGATGATGGTAAATATGGGAGCGGAGAGTGGCGGAGAGATATTGCGTCTACCACGGTGTCAAAGTACATACACACGCAATGTTTGGAGAGCCATACATATCTCTTAGAGGAAACGATCTCTGCCAACCAAACTTGGTGACTAAACTACACTCAGTACTACAAGTACGGCGTCTAACATGTCTGTCTGAGCTCATTGTGGCCCGCCAGTCTCTGGACTGCCAGCAGTCTGCCGACATCTGCAGCCTGGAACTGGGTGGAGTTGGAGGGGGAGCTGTGACAAGGAGAGATACATATGGGGAGGGAGGAAAGGAAGGGTGGGAGGGAGGGAGGGAGGGAGGGAGAAGGGGGGCAGTTTACAATGAGACCTTTGAAAAGGACCCTCTGAATAAGGGACACCTCTCTGTAAGGACACTTGGATCTGCCAACATTAGCGTGTTACATATATACACCTGAATAAAGGGCACTTCTTACACTTGAATCTGCCGCATACTAATAGAAGAGTGTGTTACTATACCTCTGAATAAGGGACACCTCTCTATAAAGGACACTTGAGTCTGCCGCATGCCAGTACAGTGCATAATTTCAACTCTGACTGAGTGACATGACGGTGAATAAAGGGCACCTCAAGCTGTCCCATATTCAGAGGTTTTACTATAGCCTCAAATATTCACAAAATCTCCTCCCCCACAAACATTGATATTATAATGGCAGAATATGTGCATGTATATAATATTGATATTCATTTTCGCAAATACTGAGGTCAACCCAGTGTATGATTCGGTGAGTGATCACACTGTCACAGACCTTTGAACTTCTTGCATTGCATGTGCAATGGCCTGACAAAGATATTATTCGGGGCAACAGACTAAATAATAATCAGCACCATTAATGGCACTCACAGTATTGCGCAACAATCACGTGAATATCATGTGACGTGTCTTACTGGCTAATGGGAGAGGCTGTCCTGTCCATGTCAGAGTCCCCAGTTGCGTTTTCTCCTAGAGGAGAGGGAAGAGAGAGAGGGAGTAGGCGAAGGAGGCAGAGAAGGGGGAACAGAGGGAGAGAGGGAAGAGAGAGAGGGAGTAGGCGAAGGAGGCAGAGAAGGAGAGAAGGGGGAACAGAGGGAGAGAGGGAAGAGAGAGAGGAAGGGGAGGGAGTAGGCGAAGGAGGCAGAGAAGGGGGAACAGAGGGAGAGAGGGAAGAGAGAGAGGGAGTAGGCGAAGGAGGCAGAGAAGGAGAGAGAGGGAACAGAGGGAGAGAGGGAAGAGAGAGAGGGAGATGTTTACTGGGTGTCCATTTTGAATCTTGCCACACATGCTGCATCATTATGCAGGTATATATGACCGGCCCACTCTCATTTTGCAGATCGATAAGTGTGTAGGTACAATTTCAAGAAAGGTCAATAACATAGCTACAGTAGAATGTATGTGTAGAATGCCACTCTGTCATACATCTAAAAGTAGGGTTATTTCACTCTAAATAATAGTTAGACGCTGATTCGAGGTAACTACACGTAGTAGAAGCCGAGAGCCCCGGCATTGTGGCGCCCCGAGCGCAGCAGAATGCACACCCAGTCATACATCAAAAAGTAGGGTTATTTCACTCTCCTATAAATCGTATCTGCACTGCCAAACCAAGCCAAAAAGAACTGTACAGCAACTCCACACACACAATAGTACATTAGTTAAAGAGCACTGATGTTGTTTCATGGGCTGAGTATCATGGTAGGACCCCTCTAATCTGGACACCAATAGGACAGAAGAAAACGTCATTTTCAGTCCGTAATTTAGGGGTAATATTGCATGCAAGAGTCTATATTAGACAGGTGTCCTCATTAGAGAGGGGTTCCACTGAATATATCAGGGCCTGGCACTAATGACAGAGCCCTAGGGGTGTCCTCATTAGAGAGGGGTTCCACTGAATGAATGACAGAGCCCTAGGGGTGTCCTCATTAGAGAGGGGTTCCACTGTATATATCAGGGCCTGGCACTAATGACAGAGCCCTAGGGGTGTCCTCATTAGAGAGCGGTTCCACTGAATATATCAGGGCCTGGCACTAATGACAGAGCCCTAGGGGTGTCCTCATTAGAGAGGGGCTCCACTGTATATATCAGGCAGGCACTAATGACAGAGCCCTAGGGGTGTCCTTATTAGAGAGGGGCTCCACTGTATATATCAGGGCCTGGCACTAATGACAGAGCCCTAGGGGTGTCCTCATTAGAGAGGGGTTCCACTGAATATATCAGGGCCTGGCACTAATGACAGAGCCCTAGGGGTGTCCTCATTAGAGAGGGGTTCCACTGAATATATCAGGGCCTGGCACTAATGACAGAGTCCTAGGGGTGTCCTCATTAGAGAGGGGTTCCACTGAATATATCAGGGCCTGGCACTAATGACAGAGCCCTAGGGGTGTCCTCATTAGAGAGGGGTTCCACTGTATATATCAGGGCCTGGCACTAATGACAGAGCCCTAGGGGTGTCCTCATTAGAGAGGGGTTCCACTGAATATATCAGGCAGGCACTAATGACAAAGCCCTAGGGGTGTCCTTATTAGAGAGGGGCTCCACTGTATATATCAGGGCCTGGCACTAATGACAGAGCCCTAGGGGTGTCCTCATTAGAGAGGGGTTCCACTGAATATATCAGGGCCTGGCACTAATGACAGAGCCCTAGGGGTGTCCTCATTAGAGAGGGGTTCCACTGTATATATCAGGGCCTGGCACTAATGACAGAGCCCTAGGGGTGTCCTCATTAGAGAGGGGTTCCACTGAATATATCAGGGCCTGTCACTAATGACAGAGCCCTAGGGGTGTCCTCATTAGAGAGGGGTTCCACTGAATATATCAGGGCCTGGCACTAAACATGATGGTGCCCTAGGAGGGCAGATAAGGAGCAATAGGGCAGATAAGCAGCCATTACTAGAGCTGCAACACCCACACAGGACAACCACTCCAACGTGAGACAAAAGGAGTGGGTGAGTTGTTTGTGCAGGACAGATGGCACTGCACACAGAGCTAGCCAAGCCACCCACAAATAGACCTCTGGGGGTGAAACCGCCTCCAAGCATAATTATGTAGAACAAAACACACAGTTGTATATACATATTGCTTCTTTTATTCAACAGAGTATAGTGTCCCTTGAGGGTAAAGTAGAGAACCCTTCTGATCAGAAAAAGGTGTCAATGTTAGTGAGGTGACATAATATGCAGTTTAGGGGTTGAACTGTATTTGGGAAAGAAAGAAAAGTGTCCTATTTTAGAGAGGTGTCCTTATTTCAGGGGTTCCACTGTATACTAGAAGTGCCTGTCATCAGCATTGCTGCTAGAAGGGGTGTGTGTGTGTGGAGTTAATAATAGAAACACCAGCTTCATTAGAAAACTGCAGGAAATGACTGGCTTCTCTCATTCAGCACAGTCCATTTGAGGCTCTCTCTTTTTGTTTGAACATACGCTATCATACTGTGTGCTCTTGCCTTAGCAGAGATAATGTACACCTAATGGGGTGTTGTATAGGTGAGGGAGGGGGACAGTAGAGGGTGTGGCAGGCTCGCTGCTCCACCTAAATCATCATTAGCACCACATCACACTCCGCTACTGGCACTACTGGCACTACACACAAAGTGGCTGGAAGATTGCGAAAAAGACTGCAGGCCACTGTGTCTATATACACTACAGCATAATATATACTGTCCCTGCACTTTAGATTGTCCCAAGGTTCTTTTACTTAACTTAGGATTTAGTGAGAAGCTTTCTCCTTCATGAGTCTCGAAAAGGCTCCCCATACATCTATGATGCTACTGTACCATGCACATATCCCTATACACCAAGTACTACGGTACTTAGTCTAGTGATACTCTTACAACGCACATACATTGTACATAAAAATACTGTAAAACAGGCTATAATAATTATGTTGCAGTGCCCAGACAGGGCTCATGCTGTCCTGTCTGGGTATTGCAACAGATTTGTTGGATATCCCTAGGCAACCGACATGTATGAACCCAGATAATTATATGAGCCATGTTGGATATCCCTAGGCAAATGACATGTATGAACTCTGCTTGCACATGTCACCTATACCCTACTCTACCCTAGCCTGTATTCCACACCTTACAGCTCCCTTTCTCTACCTTACCCTATACTACCTCTATACCACCTCTACCTTACCTTACCTTTCTCCTACTCTACTCTACCCAAAAACAGTTGACGTTTGTTTGACTCGAACTGTACTATGTATATACACGTATGTCAATGACTGAATTAGAATAAGGACATCTGCATTGCAATGTGCATGAGTGTAACACGGCACACATGCTAGTGTTGCCATACATGTCCTTGCATGGGAACACTGCCAGTTGCTGCCCCTATATAACCTGGCACTGCACACCGGTACACTGCTGTATATAGGGCTACAGGACTATTTAATCTGACCACATTACAGGTTAATGTGAGCTCCAGTCACTTCCTTGCTACTAGGTACGTAGGTGTGTGGTAAGACACTGATGATGGATGCTGAGGTGGTCGTAGTTGTACATACCAGTTACATTGACAATGACGGAAGTTGGAGCAGAACTGGTGAGTGAGGTCTGGTCCATGTCTTCTACCACCACATCTGCCTCCATCCCCTCTGCCAGGGAGAGAGGTAAAGAGGGAGAGCGGGAGCAAGAGGAACGGGGGGAGGGAGGGAGAGAGGGAGCAAGAGGAACGGGGGGAAGGGAGGGAGAGAGGTAAAGAGGGAGAGAGAGGGAGCAAGAGGAACAGGGGGAAGTGAGGGAGAGAAGGAGAGAGTGAGGGGAGAGAGGAATGAAGAAGAAGAGAACATTCACTACATGCACATGTCCATGGGTAGGGTAAACCCTTTAGTACAAACGGTACCGAAACAGTAAACGACATATACGTATACACAGAATGACTTTTACCGTAGAATGCCTACAAGTAGCAGTGTTTGCACTCCAGGTGTGTGTACCCAGCAGGCAATAAATATTTCCTTCCGGTCACTCTGAGAGTTTTGTCAGCACGAGAGCATACATTTATACCTGGTGTGCATCTTTACCCTCGGCGCGCATGCGCAGCGAGGGTACTGTAGTAGGGTCTGTCTGTGTGTGTGTCTGTTACTCTACATCTCACCTCTCGAATGTCTGTTCGTCCCAGAAACGATACCATCTACCCAACGGGCGACGAAGGTCAGGAAATATGTGGGGTTTTCTCTGAAAGTGCTCCGTTGCAGAGCTAGAGCGCTTCCAGCATTGTATGGCTAATGCCGGTAGTCGCCATTTTATCGCTGGCGGATAATGCGCATGCGCTTATATTTAGCACAGGACCGGGTCCGCTTGCTCTGTCTATCTTGAAGGCACAAGAAGGCACAACGAATGGCGTGTATCGACTCTCGCGTGCTATCTACTACTGTAGCTAGCCCGTGTCAGACTCTCTGCGAGCTACTTCGCCGAGGGTTTGCACTTTAGTGCTTTTCATTCTATCAGTTTCACAGCATAGTATTACTCTCTTCATTCACTACATGCACATGTCCATGGGTATGGTAAACCCTTTAGGTCAAACGGTACCGAAACAGGAAACGACATATACGTATACACAGAATGACTTTTACCGTAGAATGCCTACAAGTAGCAGTGTTTGCACTCCAGGTGTGTATACACACAGCAGGCAATAAATATTTCCTTCCGGTCACTCTGAGAGTTTTTCCAGCACGAGAGCATGCAGTTATACCTGGTGTGCATCTTACTATAATTATTATCATAGTATTACTCTCTTCAAGCAACTATCCAGACAGGGTATTATTACTCTCTTCAAGCAACTAGACAGGGTATGTATGTAGCTGTACCGCCTGAATGTGCTACTTGTAGAAATTTGCAGCAGTAGATACATTGACACACCCTTCTTTACATAAGCTGATCGTGAGTTTGAAAATTAACTGTTCTTCTTTTCAACCTTCAAAAAATTGCTCTGTGTATAATATGATAGCAGGTTGCTTAACTTTCTTGTTTCTCGCAACGGCCTTGCTGCACTTACAAAAATTTCCATCGTCATCAAAGAGACTAGTATTGTAATGTATGCATGATAGATAGATCGAAGGCTGTTATATGGGAGCCTGCTTCAGTATCCTGCTTACAACATATCCTTCCAATTCACCCCTTTAGCTGACACACTTTGCATTTCTAGCATTTCACTAGTTGAGCTAATACCATATTGTATACATGTGTGCAATTTTGATGCTACCGTGGGCAATGCTATGCTCTCACGCCCACATATGTAAACTACAATCAACCGGCTTCTATTTGCATTACATCATAGTTTACATTGCCAATGTATGGAGTCACTTATAGGTTACATCACAGGGTGTCCGCCCACTCAAACCTGATGTTTACACCAACCCCCTGTCCACAAGTGGTGGGCATGACAACCAGACACTTTCATTGGAATTGTGTTTATGTGTGGGAGATAGAGAGAGAGAGAAGTACATACATAGGAGAAGAAGTAGGAGGTAGAGGGGGCAAAAGGTAGAGGGCCACAGTATGTGGTTGCTTTGGTGCCCAGTGCTGTGCCTGCAGACATACACAATTAGCACTCCCTCCCCCCCTCCCTGCCACCCACTCACAAAGCGCCCACTTGATGTCCACAAGGGGGTGGCGGAATGTAGTGCAAACAACGCACGTCTCCCACGTAATTACCCATTGCGCGTTGCGCGTTACCAGTGCCCACGCACGTAAGGCCGTCTATGGAACGAGACACACGCCAGACAAGACTGTTCAAGCAAGGGCGCATAAAAAAGGCACAAAGGGACAAGGGGAGGTTGGGGAGTCAAGGAGGAGGCGGTTTGACCTTGTGACGCTTCCAGTTTCCATGCCGGAAAACCACGCGGTGAGGACTCGAGACGCGTGGGCTAGGGAAGGGAAAAGTAAACGAGCGACAAACCGTCAAACGTTTAGGACGAGTTGCTCTTTACAATCGACCACGCAATGCAGCACCACTTAGTACAAGGTGTATACCACCTAATGGCTCGTACCGCTCCACTCATTGGTTCACATTTCATAGACGAGGCGTAAGCATACACTTGTTCCACACAAGACGTTTACAACACACACCTGGTTCTTCCGCCATGTTGGACACACCCGGCAACCTCTCGCTCTCCTTAGCTCAGCACAGATACCGTCCACTCATACAGAACCTTCCCTCTGCGGAAACAGACCACGCACACACAGAAACCCTCGCACGATCGATCTGTCGAGTCAGAGTCACTGGACGGGGTCAGCCTTTATACGCGCCAACGCTGCGTAAACGCTGTACGCGCGTGGGGACGGGAATTCCGGAAACGCTCGAAAGATATCCGGTTTCGCGGGGGAGTGGGCGGAAATGCCATGCCAGCCATTGCCTGAGTAAATTTGGACATGATTAGACCCGGGCCTGCATTACTAAGACACTGGAGCCCAAATGTCTTGCATTCCAAGTGTAAAAATATTCGAGTTGCCAGCTGAAGAATTTGTGGAATGTGCTATCTGGCCTAATTAGCGGGTGCAGTAAACTTGTTTATCTCCCATTCTCTAGCAATATCGGCTGAACTTCCCTCACGCAGACATAGCTATGCAGATTGCCGAAATTGAATAAACATCATTCCAGCCATACCTTAGTAGGAAATAATTAACGATGTACTAATTTCATTTCGCTAGCTGTTTGCAGCATACAACAAGAACAATCAGACATCCTGTCAGCCGATTTTCCCCCAGCATTGCTATACATGAGCATGTTCTGCATGCCTGCCGCATGAGCTCAATCATCATGCATGCAATTTACTCACGCAAACTAAATTTTACGTATTTACCCTCTGCCACCTAGTACATAATTATGCTCAATGGTGAAAAATTGGGGCACTGCAAGTTTTGGCTGCAGTTTATAATAGCTGTCTTTCTTCAGATTGCCATGAAATTCTATCAGAAATGATTACGGTGTAGTTTTTAACAATATCTGGTCCCACAATATCCTGATTTGTCGAAATCTAAAGACGACAAAGAAAGAGACAAAATGTTACAGTGAGGCTACTAGTAGAAACGTCAATACCAATTACTTTGCCATTTCAGGAGAGGCAAGGGCAAAGTTCCAATTTAACTTTCCTTTTATACAACTTCATAATTAGCAAGCGAAGTGACCCTGTCTAATGGTCTGAATGCGGAATTTTTCCATATGTAACATCGATCAACATACCGTAATGATTCTAAATACACGCGAAAACACTTGTGAAATATTGAACTGCTGCCTTGCTTCTATCTCGCCAAAAATGCATTCTTTCTAGTATGTAATAAAGGGTGTTTTATCGTCATAGCGAAATCGCCAGCTTAAACAATGTCCTGGTTTTAAAAAATTACACGCAACGTAACAGTTGCAGAACACACCTTATACAAAATAGGTTATATTATATCTAATCTTCTGAGGAAGAGAGATGCAATAGAAAATGAGCGTCACATCGTATGTATATACACAGCCTCTATTGTTGTATGTGTGGTAATTCAGTGTGTTAGTTAGAGATAGCTGTCTGTAGGACTATGAACGTCTGGTTCTAATGCTAGTGTTTGAGTCCGTGTCCAGATTGTTGGTGTGCTCTATTTAGAGTATCCATCTCTGATATCTCCATGGGGACCGGGATGCCGTAGGGTGGCCCGGCGTTGGCGACATGGGCCACACCGTGCCCCCTCGCGTGACCGTTACCCCCACCGCCAACTCGATGTTCGTTTTCAGTCAGATGAGCAGGGTCATGAAGATGATGGGGAGCGAATTGTGCGTGATCGTGTGGAGGAGGCAGAGGCTGCCTCTCTTGCCGGAACCCTCCTGGACTCTCTGAGCTGCGAGCGGAGGGATGGTGTGCGTTAATTAGAGCAGATGGTGGCTGAGAAAGAGGGTGGGATTGAGAAGACGGCGCCTGAGGAGGAGGAGGAGCGTGGAAATTGTGAGGAAGAGAAGAGGCGAGAAAATGAGCTGTCAGCAGAGATTCCTGGTCCTGTTTGGAGAGGGAGCCGGCGGAGCCCGGCGCAGGGAGAGACGGAGAGGGAGAGGGGAGAGAGACTCGCTCGCCCGATGCCGACCGGTGGAAGTCGGGAGATGAAGAAGACAGCTGCTGGGTTGGAGGGACGGGGGTGGGTAATCCGTCGCTGGTCCCTGATGTCTGTATCCCATTGGGGAGTTGGTTGGAGGTGCTGTCTGCGAGCGTCTGTCGCAGACGGGTGTTCATCGCAATGTAGAACTCTCTCTGGGAGGCCAGCTCCATGATTCGAGATTGCATCGTCCGGTTCTCCGACTGCAGCTTGTGTAGGTGCTCCAGCATCACGCCAGCTACAGTGGGAGATGAATACATCATATATACTACCAATCCTTGCACGACAGGGGAATTCCATTAATCCCGAACACTAATCTTAGTGAGGTGTCCTTAATCATAAGCAACTGTTCTTGGAGAAAGAAAAGGCTGAGAGGTGTTCTCATTTCAGGGGTGTCTTTAGAGACAGTTGACGTTTCTCAATAACGTATTACACTTGTGAAACATACAGTTTAAATCTCTGCACACAGAATATTACTATGATTACTAACTTTCACGGAATGGAACTGTGATAGTCACGAAAGTGTCCCTCCTGCGCACGTAGTGGTATAGAAATGGCAAAGAAGAAAACTGACCGTTATTCTGTCGGCCGGCCTGGTCCAGAATGAACTGAGCAGTCTGCTGCCACTGGGTCTCCAGTAGCTCCTGCAGTGACAGTGGCGGGCCTCCAGTTCTGTGGGTTAACACAGTAGGAAATTGACACAAACTACTTGAAATATTGGCAGCCATAAGATTTTGCCTCAAATTAAGCCAGTCATGTGAGCTACCACACTTTACATACACTCTTTGTGCATCTATATACTGTAATGCCAAATTTTTTCAGTATTTCATCCAGCATGTGATGTGAAAGCAGCATTTCAACGATAGGAACAACACCAAGCTGTCCTGATTGGGACTTGAACTCACAATACACTCTTCCCTAAGACACAACACTGAATATACCAGCTTAGCTCACAGGAAGCCTTGCATACCCAATATTTTGTGCCCAAGTGACAGCTTAAACATGTTAGTGGTTTCAGGACATCTGTAGCCGTTCCTGTCACTGGTGAAATGTAAATTTAGTGGCGGCATTATTGATCCACCCACACGCAGGGTGATGCAAGCATGCACTGAAGTGTGACAAAGGTACACAACACAGGAGGATGTACATACATAGGTATGTAAAGGAGAGAGTAGTGGAAGTGGGTAGAAACCCTCATGCCTTCAACTGTGACTGTTCAAGTCTCATGCTTTGTTCAGTGCACGTGTATATACACAGCTATACTCAGTGTAGCGTGCACAGTTTTTTAAAAGGAACCTTGGCAGTACATTAGGACTAACTTTAGGAACTGACACTAATAATGGTTAACCAGGCCATATGTAACACTTCCAAATTTAGCCCTTGTGTACTGTCACATATTCCCTTTAATGGGAGTAGAAAGGAATTCTCAGACAACACACACACATAGGGCAGGATGTGCCTTAGTATAACCATAGGTACACATGTACTGTACCTGCTGCTGCTATTTCTCTTTCCCCTCCCTCCTCCACTTCCTCCACCACTTGCTGTGTTGTCAAGGACATCCACGGGAGAGATGACATGCGAGGTCCCACCTTCCATCTTTGGGTAGCTACCAGCCACGTGGAGAACTTCTTCCCTCCGTGCCACCCTGTCTCCCCTCCTCCCTCCCCCACTCCCCGCCTCCCCTATGGCCGCGAGAGGTCTCGCCTGCTCAAGAGGCTGGTGGGCCACTGCATGCACAAAATCGCTAGCATTCGACGGTGTCTCAGACGTGGAACTCTCGTTTGACGACGACAGCTTCCTGCGACGGTTTTTCCTCTTTGCTGGTGGGATGGGTGCATCGACTGACATCCTCTTCTGCGGTGGACCGTCCTTTTTGTTTCGTGGTCTGTGGGCCTGGTTACCGAGACCACTGTGGCTGCTCTGGTGAGTGCCGGTGGTCTTTTGTGGTCGCATGTGGTCCCCCACGGGGAGGGGGTCGGGTGCCAAATCTTTGTGATGGGGTGGTGAAGAAGTGAAGGAGGGGTACTGGGGAGAGGATTGGGCTACAGCTGTGATGGTTCCCGTGGCAACAGTAGGGAGGGGCGGGGCTACCGTTGAAGTGGGTGTGGTCACCTGTTTCCTTAAGTTCTGCTTCAGCTTCTTCTGAATCTGAAATGTCACAGTAGCAGCAACAACAAAAATTGTGAGTTGAATGAACTGTATTTCCGGAGAAAAGGGGGAAATATTATCAGACTCCGCCACCAGTACATACTCTAGAGCCAAAGAGAACTATATATGGAGCAAGCCTTTGACTTTGCAAGTTTACCGACACACCACGATACAGTACAGGACTAATTTAGCTACAGAATGAAGCTGTAGCATAAGGTCTCTATTAGCTACTATGTAGTCAAGTGAGCATTTAGTTTCCCCTGTCGCCGGTAAAACCCGACTTATCACTAATCTGCCTAATTATGTACATAAGCTCTTAGTCTGTACAATCGTACAATAATCTTGAAATAGTAAAGGTAAACTTCATGAAAGTCTTCTCCTTCTTACTAATACTATCCACTGCCTTAAAGCTGTAAGTGTGATTGGCAGATGTGTGTCGTACCATCTTCTTGTAGTGGTTGGCGCAGTAGCCGCAGTAGACCAGACTGCCAGAGTCTCTGGAGTCCTCCTCCTCACACAAGAGTCTCTCCTTCTGGGCACTGGGGTGTGCAGAGGAGGAGGATGGGAGGGGAAGGACAGGGGAGATAAGAGAAAAAGATGGAAAGAGGAAGGAAAGGGAGGCAGAGAAGAAGTTCTAAACTCTATGTGAAGTTCAAAGACACCCCCTGACATCCTCTTTTCAATATTCAAAGACAACTGCTCTGGTTGGGTTACAAATCAACAACAATCTGCTCTCTCTAAGTAGTGAGCTACGTATGTACATATACAAAGTTCAACAGAGAGTGCTACAGTTCATGCTATAGCCAAACCCCTAAACACAATGTAGGGTGGCATCTTAGGAAAAAACTTTGTTCGCTATTGGGCGCAATGCAAAAAAATTGACGTTCCCAAAATTACTTGGTGTATGCCATAGAATAGCTCACGAATACACAAAAATTTGACTCTACCCAAAATAATGTGGTATGTTATAAGAATAGCTCACCAGGTGACGTGGAAGGCCATTCTGCAACTAGACTTGTGGCAAGACATGACAGCTCCGTAACTGGCGTGGCTCTCCTGCCCCTTCTGCTCGCATAAGTAGCACGCCTGCATGCACCACACACACACAAAACTGTTGCACGTGTACCAGCCATCATGTGTACAAACATCATAATACCATGGCATGTGCACAGCCCAGTGTATGAGTGTGTACCACAATAGAGAGGGTTTTGGCTTTCACCTTAACTCCAATCACACACAGTCAATGATACCGCCTTTAAAGGGAATATGGGAGCATATACACAAGGGCAGAACCAAGCAATATAGGCCCCACAGCAAAATTGCAATCAGGTTTCCATTTTCAGTAACAGTTGCTAAATTTAGCCCTTACGTACTGCTTTAACGTACTGTACTGTGGGTTACCTTTGAGAACCTTTCTCTGGGGAGTTTTGACGTGACAATGGGCTCCATTTTAGTGTTGTTGAGAAACGTGACCTCGGGAATATAGAGGGCACACACCACGTGGGCCCAGCCTGTGTAGCAAGGAGAGGGATATAATATGAGGAGGAGGCATCAAAATGGGACTGTATCAGTACATACATACATAAATGCAATAGGGCCCAGTGCAAAAAAAAAACATTTTCACTGCATTTTCTACTTTCTTATATTAGGAGGCGGGCATAATTCTAGAATTTACAGGGATCCACAATCCTGTTCTCAGTCATGTTTGGAAAACACTTAAATTTTTTCGTACTACTTGTGTATTACATGTAAGCCGGCAAAATTGATTTGTAGTAAACAGCCTTGGAAGTCGAAACATATTATTATGTACCTCCAGAGTCTGTTCGTTTCAGTGCTCCATCTTTCTTCGGACACAGTTCGCACCTCTGGAGGCAAACACACAGACAGTCTCTCACTCAGAGCATAAAAATGGCTAATGTGCTTATGTACATAATATAGTCGCAGCACAAGATTTGTATGCCTCACAAAATTTAGCCTCCAAATTTTCCATATTCTTTTGCTTCTAATAATGTCGTAATACTTTCCGAAGAATACAAATTTTTTGGGTAAAATTCAAGGACAGAGGGAGAGAAACGGACAAGTAAAGGGAGGATGATCAAATCTGAGAGACAAAGAAGGTTTAGGTAATAGGGTTAAAACAACAAAGTGAGGGCAAAAAGGGTTAAAACGGTAACGATAAGGGTAAAGAGAGGGTTATCAATGGTATGATGTGAGGGTTGTATGTATGTACCACTCTTGCGGCTCTCTCTTGAGATTCACATTTCCTGCAGAACCATTGTCCACCAGGCACACTCAGTATACCGTAGCACGCTGGGGATTGAGAAGATCGTCAGGGAGGGAGGGAGGACAGGAAGAGATGAAGAGATGGGGGGAAGGAAGAAGTGAGAGACAGGGAGAAGAGATAGGGGTCAGAAAAAGGGAAGAGTGGTGTAGGAAAGACACTTCAATCGGTTCAGGGAGCAGTTTATACTTCTGCTGGATGTCAGGCATCTGTACGGATGCTCGCTATTCCTAATTGATGCCACCCTTGTCCTATACCCGGCTTTAGTACGGGTAATAGAGGGTTTATCCGTTCATCGCCCCCGTTTTTACGTGAAAAGCCAACGCCTGCGACGTCTCAACGAGCGATTAAAGCTTCAAAAAGCCTTGGTACTGGCCAAAAAAAGCTTACACACCTCTTTTTCTATATTCAAAGCCCAACGTTATACCAACGGGCGTCTATGGGTCTCCGCCCCTAACACTAGAACGTACCCTGATGGACCACAACGTCACAGCCATGTCCTTTGCAGGTAAAGAGGAGGTTGTCTTGCTTGTCTGCGGCGTCTCCACACACACAGCACGCCTTCGACATAGCCGCTCGACTTCTTCTAAGCACTTTATTTGAGACTACGGAGGTGGGCGGAGCATGATGCGGAGTGTTGTTTTAGTTTCCGGAGGTGGACGAAGCACATGGTCGACGGTTCAGCTGCTGCGGGGTGGTAGTATAAGTGGTGACCTCTCTCTCCTTCTCCTTCTCCTCTCGCGGCGACAGCGCCGAGACAAGGACCCGACGTGTAGCTAGTAGTGCACGGAGAAGAAGACAGTTCCCTAGCCTCAGCTGAGGACGGATATGAAGTTTCCCTGAAAAACCACGAGAGAGTATCACCAACCGTCGTTCACCTTTTCGTGTCCTGTGTACGCCGTACGTTTCGTTCTTGGACGCTTTGTGTAACAGTAATCCACTCTCGAAGTAGCAGTCACCTTATTGACTCTGATTGGCGTTGTTCGAAGTCGATAAGAAATCAACTGTCGGAGAACCTCAACGATGAGTGAACGCATCAACGTGGACTCACCACCTTTCTCCCGCGTGTTCGTGGTGTGCAGCAAGTCGCACCGTGAGGAGGACGTTAACGCTGCGTTCTCGCAGTACGGAGTGGTTGAAGATGTGTGGATGGTGAAGGACAGAATGACGAAGGAGAACAAAGGCATCTGCTATATCAAATTCGATAAGGCCTCTTCGGCCGCGCTGGCCATTGAGAATTTGGATGGCAAAGTGATAGGTGACGAGCCTAAGCCAATAAAGGTAGGAAAATTGGTGGATCATTAATTTGGGTCGGACCATCGTTGGATTGCGCGGCTTTTCTCAGCAAACTTGATACATGGCGTGATTGATCATACGTGCCGTGCAGAGTGTTATGTACAAGGTTGATCTAGGTAATACACTGAAGCCACGGTTTGACAACAATACTTTCCCATAATTATGCCTGAGGCTATCAGAAGAGTGCTTGTGTGTGACGTCAGTTGTACATGTGTTTGTGTCTCTCCAGCAATGAACCAACTATAGGATGGGCTATTGAGCTCTGTTTGATATCCCGGCTGTGTTTTGCAACACTGTGCTGACCTTGTGTGCACACACGTCATGGAGTATAGTTGTGTGTATAGCCCGTGCCATTCAAAGGAGCAGATTTTGTGACTCTGGTTTACGCTCTCTCCTTTGGCGGCCCAACGTTGGATTTGGTTTGGGAAATGCACTTTGATTTTTCGCTCTCTGTTGTTGCTCTTTATGACCTTTGCTCTTGGTTGGTACAAATTCGATGTAGAGTGTTGCTAGGGAGGGGCAAAGCAATATTTAGTATGATTTAAACGGTTAAGAGGGTGACGTACTGGGACACGTCGTAAGTGTGTGTGTCTCACAAATTCGTGGGTCAGGGCTGTGCAGACAGCTTTAGGCACCTGACGTCTAGGCAGTTTGTACATGGTTATTTGCCTCGGCGGACATCTCCTTCCCGCATTTGAAGTCTGTTTTCATTCACTTTTGAAAGAGGCTCCAGACAGATGTCGCCTTGCCTGAGGCCATCTCATATGGGGCGATCGGCATCTCTTTGAATGTTCTCCCTTTTACTCGGGAGCCGTTCGCAAGTGTTTGCAACAACTTGCTGTAGATTACGCTAAAGTATGCATACCATCTTTATAAATCAGGACAAGTTTATTCCTATTACAGCACGGCACCTTTTAAATGTGTATGCTGACTTCCCAACTTTTGATGTATACAAAGCTCATGCATATGCAAAAATAACTAAATTTGGCCCATGCTGGCTTTGGTTCACAGTGCCTAGTAAGAATAAGGATACCTCTCTAAGTGTCCCTGATATTTAGTAATCATTATCTCTTCCTCCTTCCCTCTTCCTCACACACACACACACACACACCAGGCAATGATAGCGTCCTCGAAAAGCTCCACGGTCAAGACAGACTACAATGACGAGAGTGCCCGCACCAGGCTCTTCGTGGTATGCCCCAGGGAGTTCTCTGAAGAAGACCTCAAACAAAAGTTTAACGAGTTTGGCGACTACGAGTACTGTAACATCATCCGGGACAAGCAGACAGGGGAGAGCAAAGGGTTCGGCTACGTCAAGTTCTCAAGGGCTTCGACAGCAGCGCTGGCTATGGAAAACTGCGACAAAAGTCTCAAAGCGATTCTGGCGGAGCCGAAATCGGCCAAATTTGCGCGAGAGGCGGCCCAAGCGGCGATCACACGGGAACCACGGTACAGCCCGCGAGGAGACGGGCTGGGCCCTGGAATGGGAGGAATGGGAGGAATGGGCTCCGTTAGTCCGACCCACAACCCGATGGATCTGTTCACCAGCCAGAGCTACATGTTCCAGGGCTACGAGTCGGGCATCGGGAACCGTCTGTTTGTACTCGTTAACCCGGCAGTCACCCAGGAGCAGCTAATGAGGCTGTTTGACTTGATTCCGGGGATGGAGATCTGCGAAATAAAGAGAAATCACATAACAGGCGAGTCTCGAGGGTTTGCCTATATCACCTACAGTTCTATCCAGGCCGCGGTCTACGCCAAAGAAAAATTGAACGGTTTCGAGTACCCGATTGGTCAAAAAATGATTGTGAAATACGCGGACGATCCCATGCCCCAGCGGTACCCACCGAGCCCAACGGCAGAGCCAATGTATGCATCCAGCTCCTATCACTCCGCCCCGCTGTCTCCAATTCACCGTTCACCCATGCGCTCACCCGCCCGTTCAATCTCACCCATGCGCCCCATGCCGATCGGGAGGCATCGTCGCCACTCCATCACCGAATTTGACGGTCGCGTTTTCTTCATCTGCTCCCCGCAACCGCCCGCAGAGCACATCCTGCGAGATATCTTTGGACGCTTTGGAATACTCACAGACGTCTGGGTGGTGCGGGGGAAGAACTACGGATATGCAAAGTTCACGAATCGAGGATCGGCAGAAGCTGCTATTACTGCACTACACGGGATGGAGGTGTTTGGTGTCAAACTAAAGGTTATGTTAGCCGATCCACCGCCAGATGACCCGTCCAGGAACAAACGGCCGAGAATGTAGGGACGGTGAAGGAAATGTACGATCTGGCAAACCAGTGAGGCAACTGTATGTAAACGTCAATCATTATGTACACTTGTACAATAGCCATACATTAATCGAGACACACAATCATAATTATTCATTCGCACTGAATTATTTGTTTTTAAGTGAAGTAAGGGCCAAAATTTTCAACGTTAGAGCTAAAATAATAATCGTTAATTAGTTTAAAACTACACTGAAACCTCTTTACTACATAGTTAGTAGTGTACATAGCACTACTTGTGGTTTTTGGGGTCAGTATGCAATGTGGCATGTCAGTCAATGTAAGGTACCAGCTGAGCCTTGTCCAGATCTTGCAGAAGGCCTGAAAGGGGAACAAGGTTCTCAATCCTTTCCAATAGTGTAATCTTTGCTAATTCAGGACAATATTATAACCCCACTTGTACCCAGTGGGGTGGGCCTGACAAACTTATAGTACTGTAGTTTAGCTATCATGCGGGTAAAGTGTCTTGCCTTCAATCTCTGCCATCTCACTTAGCACACAATCAATTGAGCAGTCCACTGCCTTCCTCGTGCCTTGAGGATTGGTTTGAGCAGCAGTCGAGGTGGGGGGAGGGGGAGGAAGAGGAGGAGGCTGGAGGAGAGACAGCATTTCCTCCATTTCCTTTAGCTCTCCCTCTGCCTCTTCTGCCAGCTGGCAGAACTCTTAATAGGAAAAAGGTATATAGCACCTACATACAATGGGATCTTGGAACACCCAATACCCAATAGTGGCTATGAGAGGGCATAAAAAATTTCTACCTTGAGGCTTTTGGTGTGGTGTGGTTGACTCAGAACATTGGTCAACTCTGAGACATGAAGGATCTGTAATCCGTTTAACTTCTTTCTTGGCCACTGTTTTAGAATTGTTCTCTGTTGGGTTTGGATTTTTGCGAGATTTTCTCTTCTTCTGGGGTTTTCTCTGTGCCGGTTTTAGAACAGTAGGTAATTGGCTGTTAATGAGAGGAGCTAGGGGATTTTGGGAAGCATTCAGTTTCACCACAGTCACAGGCTGTCTTGCAGCACTCTTGGCTGAGGTTGGAACGGTCTGTGTGTAGAATTGAACCCCAAGAGACCTCAGCAGTAGCTGGAGCTCCTGTTCTCCATACCCTTGCCCACAGTGTGGCAGGATGACACCAGTAGAACTGGCCTTTCCTGCCACATTAGGCACAACTCTGTCACTGCTGCTGCTAGTACTACCATCTCTGATCCCCACTGGTCCACTGGCCGATGTCTCAGTGGTGCTGTGGCTGAAGTTGGCAACTGTTTTGAAATACATTTCGGAGGTCTTCCAGGACCTTTCTTCTTCTGTGGTGCCGACGCAAGCCGTTTGCCTTTTCCTACGTTGTCAACACAACAGCAGTGATTTCTTTAACACTTAGTTCATGGTTTTGTAGACGTCTAACACTCAAACACGAAAACTAGGCAGTGTTTTTGTGATAGACCTAACACCCAAACAATGCAGCCAAGGTATACACCATGGTTTTCTAAGTGTTGACCCAGCATCAAAATCATACACTGCTCAGAGCCGTTGGTCTACAGGGTCATACCATCAGATGTTGTGGGAGTACCGTTAGGCCCACTGCGTGTGATCCGGAACACACATTTCTCCAGCCTCTGTCCCAGAGTCAGTTTCAAGAGTTCCTGGGCCTCCTCCATGGCTCGTGTGAGAGAGATGCTAGTCTTAGAGCTCCCAGCTGTGGCTTACACTCACTCCCGTGGTATGGCTCCACCTTTATGCAATGATGATTAGTTTCTATGAGGCAACAGCATACCTGTCTGGGTTTCTACGAAAGCATGGCGGAAATGCTTTAGGCTTCTCAGCTTCATTGGAGACAAGACAGGGAATGGGGATAGTGAAACAAAGGCAAGATACACAACTATTAATGCATAGGTCCAAGGGACAGTAAAGCCTTTATTTTCACTCTGAGAGTTTGATCTGATCTCTGAATGAAGAATACCTCTGACATTAATCATTACCCCTCTCTTTCCTCCCCATGCACCAGCTACTATTACTAGCCTTGTCCTCTACAATCCAGTTGTGGGTGTGGTCTTTCCCGAGGAACTCCACGTGGTAGATTCGACCCTCTCTCTCTTCGACCACACTCTGCCCATCACTCCATGGGTCTGGACTCACTACTGCCGGCCACCTGAACACAGAATGCTCTGAGGAAACTGTTCATTGCGTGCAGGAACATGCATCCAGACGTAATATCTGCTTAGCCGAGTGGTCTTAAAGTGTGCATTTATGTGCAAAGAAATATTCAGACTTTTTGCCCTAGTTACATCCACCAGACATCTTCAGGATTAGTTTGGTAGGCGAACACAGAGCTACACGAGACACACCGCACACTGTTAATTAACAGTGATGTATTAGGGAAAGCAATCTTGTTGCTCATGAAGCTCAGTTTGGTATCAATCTAACCTGTGTGTTGGGGGGGGTGGATTAAAGGGACAAAACTGGGAGCTCACGGGCAAAATCCAGCCATCTTGGCCCACACTAGCTGTCCAGACTCCAGCAAGCTGAACGTGTATCGCCTCTTCTTTCTGTCGACCTTCTCTTTCTCCTCTGGAATGGCACACGAAGCCTGACCTGTGAGAGGATACATGTACAATGTAGGACCTCTAAATATATCTATGGAGGAAACTTAGTTCTGCCCCAATTTAGTGTACCTCTGAGTATGAAACACCTCTTCAGTATGGATCCTACATATATAGTGTGTGATAGTAGTAGCTGTGAATACAATGCAGATTACCTGGGTCAGGGTGCATGTGGCAGAACCAGTCTTGAAAGGTGTCGATGACAGCGTCTGGGGGCAGTGCCCTCCATTTCCTG